TTCTAGTATTTACACATAGTATTTCAATTACATACTTTTTACTATAAAGTAATTCCATATCTGAGCCCTTTTTTAAAGCATGAGTTACAAATTGAATGCAATGATCAGTAAGCTTTGATAATTGGTCTAAAGCAACTTTTTTTTCATTTAGTGTATTTTGCTTTTGATCACAAACTTCGTTTAAACGCATAACTAATTGTTTTCCTCGTGTATTAATTGCATTTGTTAACCTATGCAAGAAGTATTATATGAATTGAACAATATTGTTTTATTTGAACTTTGAATATAAACTTTATAACACACTTACTGCACCACCATTTGTGTTATATCTTGTACTAAATTTTTCTTTTTCTCTAGAATAAGAACTTGCCGATCTTCTATAACTTTCATAGCACTTTTTAGCAATACTCTTTTATAACTAGAAACAAATGTTTTAAGTATAAATAGTAATAGTTTTCTAGAAAAATAATTTTAGTTCTAGTAAATGAAAATATCTCAAAATGTAAAAGTATTCAAGAAAAAATTACCTCACTTCTTTAAGTAAAGTTGATACAGAAGCACGTGTTTCTGCAGCAATTTCATGAATAAATTTGTACTTATGATCTCTATGTTCACTTAGCTGACAATCCCTACAAGTAAGTTTATCACATGTTTGACAAAATAAAGATAATTGTTCATGTGAATGAATTGTACAAAATAAATAGCCGGGTATTTTTTTGTTGCTCTTTTTAACATTATCTCTATCATTGGCAACTTCATCCTTTGGTTTAATTGTGTGATCTTTTGTTATTTTTAATCTTTGATGTGCCTTAAAAAGATATAAATTGAAAATAATGACTGTTTTAACCTTAAAGAAATATATGTAATAAGTAGATCACAACGTGATATTTTCATTACCATAACACAGTTCTGACAAATAAATTCTTCACATTCTACACACCAACTTGTGGCAGTAGCATTATCATGACAGCTGGTACATTTTTTTTCTTCCTCTGTTTCTTTAGATTCATCATCAGTACCTGGACTGTTATCTTCTTCTATAAACTTTGAAAGAAATCTGTTTTCAATTAAGTTTTCTGCTTGAGTGGTAACATTACAGATTTGACAAGCAATTACATTACTTTCCACTGCAAGAAAATATATTTTTTATCTATATCTTAATTTGTATATTAGCACATATTTGTATTTAAATACATTTTTATTTTATAAAGTACATATAATCACAAATGCAATATCTTTATTATAAA